CCCGGGTACGAAAGCAACAATTTGTTTCGCTAAGTAGCCGTACCGCTCTTTTGTTTTTCCGACTTCTTTTATTCTCGCTAACTGCGGCGGGGAGAGATGAATGAAAAGGTGGAAAAGAGGTGGTCGAAAGTGGTTCCGTTCCCTCGTCCATTGCCATCTTGAAAGCAAATCGCAGGGCGGGGGGCGGAGGGGGGGGGGATGGCGAGGCGAGGCAAAACTTTCGGAAAATCGCAAAAACACGGCGCGATGGCGAAGTTTTCGCGTTTTGCCAGAGATTTAATTAAAACATTCGCCTCCTTTGTAGCTTTCCGTAGCCATGAATCTGCATCGGGAGAGCGTGAGCGTCGTTGCCGTAACTCGTGACAAAATGTTAAAAGCGACGCGCTACGCGACCTTAATTAACCATACCACTTTCCCGTAAGCGGAAACGCGCAATGATTCTATCACGGTTTCTCTCGATGCGTCACACACGTTCGATTCGGGAATAATCGAGCGTACCGATGGAAATCGATCCACAGACGACGACGACGACGACGACGACGACAACGACGACAACGATCGTAATCGTGGCTGCGTCGAGAGAAACGATGGAACGAATCGTGGGAAAACAAAGGGTGCGAAGGAAGATGGAAAGTCGAAAACATTAATGCAGCGCGACGTTGTACAAACACTCGTCGTCGAGTGATTCTCATGACTCTAGATCGGGGAGGAAAGAACGCAGACAGTGATAGAGAAAGGCGGTTTTTGTTCTTTCACCGGCACGAAAATTAAAATCCAATTATTTCGACACCTCTGTACGACCCTCCGGCGATTCAAATGAATTTTTTGCGCCAACTCTTTCCTTTTTTTTAAGTCTCTCTTTCACCCCGCTGAAAACCGGTTCGACGTGGAAGGTAACGTTACACAGCCACGAGTTTACCCTTGACCGATCCAGAGTCCCGATTCTCCATCGACGACAGCTGCCAGGACCGGAACTGTGCCACCGGGGAAAACCCGAAGACGATGAAAAAAGGGTGAGAAAGCAAAGGAGAACTCGAACCGAGTTCGAGTCGCTGTTCGCGGAATCTTCGCGGAATCCTCGCGGAATCCTCGCGGAATCTTCGACGTAAGAAGTGCAACCGGTTAGAAAAATTTACTTTCGAACAACCGCGATCGCGAATATCTAACTAGAATGCAATGCACGACGAACTCGAAATTGCGCAAAATTCGCGGGTTTCTCGGGCAGAACGCGCCTCACGGCTCGTCTTTCTCACATTCGGCTTCATCATCCCCTTGAGCAGTAACTTTTTTTTTCGTCTTCAACCCCGAAGAGATTCCGCCGTATTATTTAAATAACGGTGTTCACGCGCGTACCATTGTTTCGCTAACCCTTCTACTATTACGGAAGAGGGGAGAGGGCGGACAGAGAGCTTTCTGTTGCAAGTCGAAGAAGAAAACCCCGAGGATGAAAAATAGAAGGGCGGGAAGAGGGAAGAACTTCCGTGCCGCGTAGCCGTTATGGCGAAGGCAAAATTACGACATCTCAAGTCCAGGGGCAACCGTACCTTCTGCCCGTTCAGTAGGTACAAAGTTTCCTGGCTTTTCAGTAATTTTCTATGATTTTCAGATCGCATGATCGCTAACAATAACCGCGGGCCCGTGCCGGCTGTTAAGATCCTTCTAATCGAATTGTTCGATCTTCGTAGAAGCTATAGCGAAACCGAGCACGAGCGGAGCGGGAAAGAGCCTCGAATAGGAAAATTTCGAAGAAATTCGACTAGAACGGATAGCCGATTCGTGGATCTCATCACGAACATCTCGTTTCTCGCGTAGATTGTACCAGTCGGAAGTGAAAAATCGGGGGGACAAAATGAAACTGGTCGCGAGATTACGTGGTCGGCGGACGTCGTATCCGTGACGATAGATGTCTAGGGAAAAGCGTGGCCGCCCAAAGCGAAGGAGAAAGGTACGAGTTACGAAGCGGTGTGCCGGCGGAACGTTGTGTACGCGGCGCGTACGGTTCTTTCTTCTTCTTCTTTTTTCTCTTTCCTCGTCGTTCGCTCGCGTGGTTCCGCCATGACCTACCCTAAGCGCGGTCGACAAAGAAAAGGAAGGAGTAAAAGGGGAGAAGGAGAAGGGCTGAGCAGCGAGAACCGGGAGAGAAGGAGAAAAGGAGAGAAGTCACGCGCCCACACACGGCTGCGAAGTTGCAACGAGGATGACCAGGAGAGTTGCAAGAGGTAACAGAGGAGCGAGACGGAGCGATCGAGTGGAGAGGAAAAAGGGAGGGCGAGGTGCACGGAATAGAGTTTATTCTTTGTGTCGCGCGTATGGCTACGCGCTTTTTTTTTATCGTTCGTTGACTCTGCTCCGTTCTGCAGTCGCGTTCGCCACATCGCTCTCCACGATAAGATTACGTTCACAGGGGCGGTCATGCACGATACTCGCGCACTTCGAAAAACCGGCACGCGTCTCTTCTGCGAGACGATTCTTGTCCCGCGCCCGATCCCAAGGCTCCAAATTCGATGTTCTTCGTGTCCGAGAGACCGTTCCACGGTCCTATCGGTTAATACGTTTACGATCCAATCTGACATTCGCGAATATCGCAATTTCTCGGCCACTACTATCGATAAAGCTAAATACCGGATATTCTCGGACTCGACGTCCGGGTAAAATCGAGTGTAGGCGAATACTTGTTCGGAAAACGACAAAGGTCCGTATGTCCATATAAACAGATATTTTCTGAAATTCGTTCAACGTCCATTGCAACCTACCCACATTCGCCTTTCACGCCGCTCGTCGTGCGCTTCTTAAGCGAGAGTCACCCTGTAGAATACCGAACTTATTAAACAACCGTTATCCTACGTGCCACCGGTAATTATTGCAAACTCGAAACGTGACGCGTACGCAACAGCCATTAACCCGTGCGGTGGTTCTACTCAAATGCAAAACATCGAGCGACGTAATAGTCGATTGGAGAGGTTAGAGGGGTAGGGGGCAGGAAAGAAATTTAATCAAAGAGCCGGAAAGAAGAGCGGGAAAGCGAGGAAAATGCAAAACGACGAAAGCGGCAGAGCCGTA